TGCTTTTTACATTTAATAAAATAAGATCCAGCTTCATATCTACTCTTTATACTTTTTCCTTCCTCATGATTATGCTTGCATACTAGATATAAGAACTTCTCAATAATTCCATAATAATTAAATTTTTTATTACTAAATTCTTTAAATATATCAGAATATCAGAATAATATTTTATTATGAAAATAATTATGATCATAAGTTGAATTATTTTGTTTTTCAGATAGGGTCTTCTTGAGTTGAGATATAAGTAATATATCTACTTTATCTTTTGAATTAGAAAAGTTAGAGACTAGTAATATAACTGGAATACTTATCTCAATTTCTATTAGATCATATATTTATAAACAATTATTCATGCTAATCATTTTTAGAGATTTAAATGATAATACTTTTGTATCTAATTCTTTATTATAAAGATTTATAACATTTTAAACTTGTGTATCTATTAGTCTAGAAATAGCATCAGCACTATATGAAACTAATCTGATTTTATCTTTTCCTATTTTTTGAATAATATATAGATAGTTTTAGTCTTTTGTGTCTTCTTACGTAAATACTCTCTTTTAATTTCAGATAGATATTATATCATTTCATCATATATTTATGTTCTTGCCATTTGATCATTAATATTATTTTCAGAACTAAAAGTTAAAACCTTTTTTTCATAATTCTTACTATAATAATACCATTATAATTTTTTTTTCATTCAGTTTTCTTCATCTTGCTAAATAAATATGCTAGATAAGATGAACTACCTAGAATTAAATTATTCACGCTTATCATATCATTATTGTGAAATAAGATATCAGAAATTTCTTTATCAGATATAGAATATGAATTTTATAAGATCATAATATTATTATGTCTAGCCATCTTGTGACTATCTTCAGTAATAAATTCAAGCAATTCACTTATTAAATTCTATTCTACTTTTTGATTATATAGAATTTTTGTTATTGTAAAATAATGAGTTCTACTCTCAGAAGGTATAAGTTTATTATTTTTATTACCTATAGTAGCTTCACTATAATTAATCTTTCTTATTTTCTCACTTATTTCAGTTTTCACTGTAATGGTTTTTATGATCTGGTGATTTATTATCCAAAGATAAGTCTTAGTTATTAGATATTTCATTATTTTATAATAGCTTTTTTTCTATTTTCTTTCTCTAATCTCATTGTTAATCTGTTTTTTATGTACATAATTCAGAAAATCATTAACTGATTTATCTTCCAGTAATTTGAACTTCATATAAATAGATAATTCAGAGTATCAGATTAAAGATGAGTCAGAAATTTGAGATTTTATTACTTCTTATATATCAGAATTTGAAGAGTTATCAGATATATTAGATACAGAAGCATCATTTTTACTATGTAAAAGTCTATCTGTTTAGGAGTATTATTTGAATTTTCTGTTTCAGTAGAGATATTTTGAATTAAAGATCATCTGATTTCTGGAATATCATCATCTAATTTAGATTCAGAGATATCCTCACTTTGTAAGTCAATAAGATCACTCTTTTCTTTATTATTTTGTGACTATTTCTATTTCAAATTTGAAATTCTGGCATTGAGTTTAGCATCTCTTAAATTTATATTTTCTTTTGCAGATCATTCTAATTCTGCAATTCTAGTTATAAGTCTCATTTTCTTAGTCAAGAATTCAATATTCTCCTATCTAAGTTTATTATTTTCAACTACAAGCTTGGAAATCTGTTCTTCTAATGATTTGATTTTAAGATTCAGTATTTGTCATATTTTATATAAAATACAGATTATTTAAAAGCTTATTATTAATATAGATGAAATAAATAAATTATATATGTGTAAATAATTGTTCACATCAATCACTTTTGTCAAGAAAAAAAAATTCTTAATTATCTAATAATAATATTATTAAATCTCAAAATATATATACAGAAAGTAAATATAATTATGTATGTGAAATTTTCAGAATTATTAAGTGTGATGATTATTTAATCAGAACAAGGTGACTGATAATATATCATTCTATATCTGAGATAATCTACTTTAGAGTGAAATCTATTTCAAGAGATCCACTAAAGCCAGATAGTTTCACGTGATATAGAATTTGATCTGGATTATATCAGGTAATTTATTCGTATTATGTGAAAGATAATTATTAGCTGAACATATTATTGGATAATAATAGTGAACAAGATAATTAGCAAACATAAAAAATTAAGAAATATGGAGATAATTATAATAAATATATAATAACAATTATATATATGTAATTATTTAAAGTTAATATTTTTTATTATTAAAAACTGAAGTTAATAATTTATCTAAACATGTAATAAATGTCTTAGTTGTTTCTACATCATCTTCATTTTTAATTTCTCAATACTTGTCCCGCATCCTTTCTATAAGTTTACTAATTTGAAGTTTTTATATTTCTGCTTCTTTTTTTACTTGAGTCTGAATTGGCTTAGATAGCTTAATCATTTCATGATATTTATATACTTCAAAACTAATTTCTTTAAATATTCATTAGAATTTATTTCAAATCTCAACTATTAATAATTTATTAGAACTGAAAATATGTTAATGAAGAATATGTTAACATGAAAATAAATAATAATGAAAAAATATACAATCATACTGAAGTATTTATAGATCTGATGACAGCTTTCCCTTCATTATTCTTGCATTCATAGCTACAACTTTACTTATAATTAACTTTTGGATAGGATAGGGAAACTTATGTATCTGTTCAAGAATTTCATTATTGAGATCAATTACAGAGATACATATTTAGTGAAAGTTAAGAACTGTTTTCTCTAAATCAATCTGTTTCTTGTTATCAAGTTCAATAATTTTGAAACATGCTTCTAAATTATATAATAAAGAACAGACTATTAACAATAAAAATGAATTCATCATGTGATCTAGTAAACTTGGAAAATTTAAAGAGAATTAATCACATGATAAATTATATCTCACCTATTAATTTGTATTTCTTTGCCATTATTTTCTTGAGTTTGCTATGATAGGATTCTAGTAGATTTGTTGAGATAACCTGTAATAAAAAAAAAGAATGCTGATATGTTCAAAGTATCTATTTTTCTGTATTATTAGTGTAATTATGATTAATATAATGAATAATTTTAGAAATAGGACAGATGATAATAATGTTTTTAATAATTTCTTCATAATCAATACTTATTTTTTTATGCATGGCTAAGATTATTTGGTTACGTGTTGCTGAATGATAAATTTTACATAATCATATTCATATAATATGTATGGTGTAAAGAATAATATTATAATTTTATTTATCATGTATAATATCAGGAAAGAAGTTTGTGATACTATTCATTTTTATATTACTTTGATTATATAATGAGAAAGTCAACAAGATTCAAATTGACAAATTATCTTTAATATCTTAGTTATTATATCATTATCTTTCTTACTAACAAGAAAATATACATCCATATTCTAGCAACCAAAATCATCTTGAATATATAAGATGAAAAAATATCACAAATACTTGTTAATATTATGTATCAAGTCTATAAGAGTTAGTCATTCATGACATTATAGTTTTTTTAATTAATTATGATTTGTAAAGCAGAGATCTTACAATACTTTTTGTAATTACTGCACAATTTCAAAGTACTTAACTCAATAATTTTTGTTGATTAGAAATTTCAAAGTATACTGAATATCAGATTCAAGATCTTTTTTACTTATAAGATATTTAGTTAGTGATTTGCATATATTTTATCACTTTGGTTTAACATAATTTTTGAATGATAGTATTAAGTTTCTTATTCACTGCAAGTTCCTTAATTGTGATAATAATAGCTGGTGATTTATATAATTTGCTTGCTTCATTAATCACCAGCTATCTAATTACTTCTGGTCATTTTATTTGATCAATATCCTTGATTTAATATGTATGATCCAGAATATTTTTATAATATTTGATTCATATCATTTGTGTTGTGATAATATGTATTACTTTAATTCTGACATCACACTGATTGGAATTGCATTTACTTATCTTTCTCCTCTTTTCAACTGGGATTCCTGCTTTCCATGTACTAGATTCATGATGCTTTAAGAGATGACAGGTATAAATGATTCAAAAATCATTATTAAGAGATCACCAGCTGTTATATTGTATCCAGATATTGGATACAAGCAGCCATAATTCTTCACAAAACTTCTTTTCAGATACTTCAAAGGAGTTATTAACATTAAAAAGACTTACACATTTTTAATTAATAATTTCTTGCATTAGAAGTCTTGTTCGAGGTGTGAAGATGTGTAAATATGTGTGTGTATGTACGCATGTGTATGTGTATATATGTACGTGTAATGTGCATGTGATGTGCTGTGTGATGTGCCATGTGATATGCCGTGTGGTGTGTGTGTGTGATGTGTATGTACGTGTGTACGTATGCATATGAATTATTTTTATAATATTTCTTGTGGCTTAAACACAGCTCGAAATATAAGATTTGCATTTCTTACACGAATGTATTTGGTTTTTTTTTTGCGTTTCTTATGCGAATGTATTTTTAAGTTTGTGTTATCAACATAATTATTCCTTAACCGACCTATCCACCCTTATCCTTATTATTTTTATTCCCCCGCCAACCATTCAAAAAAAACAAAAACAAAAAAAATTACCTTGCAATAATGACGAAATATATTGTGTACAGTTGTACAACTTTATAGGTAAATTCAGATTGACATGATCTGGATTTACATAATTCGAATTGACATATAATCCACTACCCTGCTTTAGCGTTCCCCTATTTCGGGATGTACTACAAGCATATGATTAATTTTCCGGTATGTGACTATATAAAGGATATGCAACTTGACACTAGATCATGTGCCGATAAATAACGCGTGATGATCAGACTTGTTATCTGGAAAAAATATTCAATCATTTCTTGAACGTGATATTAGATTCGTTTTTTATTGTTATCACAAAATATTATGATATGCGAGAAAAACCTATTCCAAGTATGAGAATAAATCAGATCGTTGTGATGGTGATCCAGGACACGGGGATGATGGATATGATTTCTCGGTATATGCTTCTGCACATACTTTAGCCTTCTTCGGAGTTGATAAGCACGGAGATATTCGGTCCTCATTTTTGTCTAGAGGTCGCTTTCGAAACCCGGCCCTTTTAAATGATTTGACTGTTTGTTTTTTTGCTTGAACCGCCTTTATTATCTCTTGAACCACAGCCTAACATTCATAAATACATCAGCTTATATGAATACAGATATATAATCGTTAGGTGAAAAGCATGAATTTAACTAACCTTTATGTTCAGAACAGATGCGAGAATTGTGAGGATGTAAGGAAAATTTTCTGCATTATCCGGAACTTCCATTAGTTCACCACGTCGAACCCTACAGATGTAGCCTTTTGGGTTGTCCAGGTAGACCGTCATAATCATCAAACCTATAAATTATATTAGCTAACAGCGAGAACCTGATGGATTCTTAAAGACACAAGGACATACCAGCGTGAATTATTCCAACCGTTTGAATTTTTGCACGACTTTCTTCATCCCAACCTGCCTTCTCCATCAATTTTACTAACATATCCTTGAGTGTCTTAGGTAGCTTTAATCCCGCCTCCTTGAGAAACTTCGTTCCATTTTTATCCACCCAACTTTTTCCGGCTTCCCCCGCTCCGAACTCATCTCTATCGCCATTACTAATAGATCTCAAGATCCAATCAATCCTGCGACCCATTTTCCGCCGTTCTCCTGACAGTCTTTTTATATTTTTTCGTGACGCCGATGCCAAGCTTGTACTTTCTCCTCTAAATTGTTAAAGGAAACCTGTTAGATATATCAAAGCAAGCTATATTTTTTTAGAAAGTTACCTAACGACGGATATCGCATTTACATCTCCAAAAGCTTGATCGAAGACCACGTTCCACACGTGGCAATTAAACCAAGCTTCAAGATTTGCGACTTTCAAGCTTCCACTTTGAATTTCTCTCACTCTATAAAAACAGATTTAGTCAATTCACCATTGATGCATTCAAAGGACTATAATAATATCTACATCATGTGCAAGCCAAGAAATACTTACAATGAATATAAAGCATAGATTATGTAATCCTTATCATGATCTTTTTCATGATCATAATTATCGTCAAACATCATTTCCTTTATGATCTTTCGAATCTCCTTCAAGCTCGTCTACAACAGGAAAAGAGATTGATAAATTGTCGCGGTACATATATCTTTGTCAGTAACATATAAATGAAGTATTACCTTGTCGACGAATTTGTTTAGAAATCCAGTGATTTCTTCTGAGAGCTCGGGTACCTGTGGGCCAGGGGCGTAATCAATTTCATCTAGTTCTGCCTCGTTGAAATGCTGGTTAATTATCCCGTCATCGACATCCAAAATAAAGGAATGAACGGCACTAGGAAATAAAAACGGCAATTTAGTACAATTTTGTTTTCCATAATACAGTTACTACCGAAAAATTATATGAACACTGACTGCTCAAATTTTAACTTCTTCCCCAATTCGAATAATTCTTCCTCGACATATTTTCCTGTTGAAAGTCTCCACATTCTTTCCTTTTTCATACCATTAAATGTTTGCTCAATTATCTGTCGGTGTTCCTCAGTGAGGGGGAACGGACCCGTCTACGTGGCTATGTGTTAATTTTGTTAAATATCAAGAACTAGAATTTACGAAAAAACTTACCTTTTTATTTTCTACATTATCTTTGTTGTAATCGTCATCTTCTTCAGATAAATTGGAACCTAATTCATAATAACCACCTACTTTTTTTCCAGTTCTCGTTCGACGTTGATTTTGTTCTGGTTGATATATTTGGTGTTCAGGTGTTCGTGGTGGTTCATTATTTACTTTTTCGATTTGGAGACTTTGGCGTTTGTACGAAGCATCTTCGTTTCCACTAGCTTGAACCTCAGGATGCCGTTTATTTATAGTGGAAATAACTTCATCGGAACTGGAGAACCTTGCTTCATTAAGAACTTTGACGCCTTCTATTACATAATTTTTCCCGGCATTTCTCTATTTTTTGGCAGAGATGGAACATAGTTAGTATCAATAAAGAATTATTTTTTGGTAATAGTTCTGTGTTAAAAAATACTAATATTATAATGCCACAAACTTTACTAACCTTTTCACGCTCAAGAATAATATCTTGAAAAATGATTTCATTTGCCGACGTTTATTATCTTTATTCCGTTAACGAATCGCAATGAGAGAGCACCGAAAATTTCAGCAAAACCTCTGGATCGTACTATATCATAAGATATAATTACAACTCAGAAGCGCATCATACTCATCACTTGGGCACCGAAAATTTCAGTAAAACCGCTGGATCGTACTATATCATAAGATATAATTACAACCCAGAAGCGCCCTTACACCTGATGTTGTTGATTAGTTTGATTAGTTACCTTGACATAATAAATATACCTGTTATACCATATACCATCTAAACCGCTCCAGTCTTCAGTGAATTGATGATTATTTCTTTTAAATCATTTAAAAAATGTTCATAATTCCATGTTTTTCTATCGTGAGTTTCAAAATATTTAAAACAGCCAGTAAATCCAATAAAGAGAATCAGTTTATCACTGAGAACAAGTCTGCAAAATTCGAATAGGATTCAGTCATTGTTTTTTAGGTAAAAAAATTTTTTTAGTATGCATCACGAGATATGGCAAACGTAACAATCAGCAGGTCGTTCGATTACATCATGCATGACGACCTTCTAATTTATTCTGCAATCGAATTTTATTACTAGACATATCGAAAATTTTCTTGGCAAAAGTGATCGGCGTGACAATTTGTCACGCATACATGATTTTTATTCACACAACAAAAAATATAAATCATTCGGGTAAAATTTATTACTTTTTCAGACGAAATTTAACCCCCCCTTCCCCCCCCCCCCTCATTTATAGAAAGAGTGGTTGACTAGCTCCTATATCGTGCATAATGGCATCGTTTTGCGATAAGGTTAAATTTAGCAATTCAGGTGTTAGATTACTACCGGAGATGGCTACTTCGTGGCTAGAAACGACATGGCTCTGATTCATTCTGAAGAATTAGCGTGAGCTAGCCTCTGGTTAATCTGTGGCCTCATAAGACGGTGGTTGAAGAGTTGATATTTCGATAGAGCCAGAATGACCAATATTTTGCTCAGGATTTTCCACACCAGGATTTTTTGTATTAGTGTTTATTGTATCACGGGGTAGAGATGGAGATGCTAACCGTCTTCGACTATCAATAGATGATCTTCGGCTTCTTCGATTACGCGGTGATATTTGGTCTAATACATGCTCAACTTCCCCAGTAGATGGCGCAGGTGTATTATTCCTTCCAATTCTACGTTGCCTACGGTTTGAACTATTTATATTACGAATTCTATCAAAATCATCCTCAGGCCTCTCCCAAAAATACGTACGGAATTCATCAAAATATTGTGCACCCGTTCGACTTCTTCGTGCTCTCCAATTCCCTGCCATATAATCACACATCAACTAATTGACATGAATTATTTAGCCATACTAGCTAAGACGTAAGCAAAAAATCTGGAAAAATTTCTTATGGTGTCATACTTACATTGTAATCCCGAACAAGATTCATAAACTTTTCTTTACATTTGTATCCATTGAAGCTCGTATTGTGATCTTGATTAATTCTGGTTGCGATGCTATCCCAAAATCTGATTCGATTCCTTCCAAGATTATGATATTCATCATTTCTATATCAATAAGTATACAGATTTGAGAATCAGTCCATTCAACCATTTTTCGATATTTGGGTTCGACAGATTTTTTTGCTTCGTTTTATAAGTATATTTCCGACTAACATAACCGCACTTCAACAGTACTTTAACCGCACTTTAGCCATATTACATTACGATATATTGTATAATTAATTATTTTACCAACCGCATTCCAACCGCACTTCGACCATACTTTAACCAGTATAAATCTACGGACTTTTTTCACGTAAAAGTAGTATAATTAACCGAATTCGTATGCCTCGGATTTGTTTATCTTGGACCGGGTGATCTCAAATGGTGGGTGTTGTTCATCCCATATCGATATGCTTATAATACACCCGAAATAGATTATGTAATGATTATCCCAAATGTAGATTCACACATCCGAAACATGTCAAAAATATCGCCACAAATAAATTTTTTAGAATCAACTCTAAACTACAATTCTCGTTACAATCCAATATGCATCTCTCCCATTTCCATTGTATACATCACTCGCAAAATATGATGATTATAACACTCTTGAAGAGAATCCAATCTCACTAAAATTGAATCATATATTCTTGAGTATAAAATTATTAAATCTAATTGGTCTAAATTTCTAAATACAATACAAATCACATATAACTTCCAAACACTACAAATAGATTATATAAAATGGCTAGCTTAAGCAAAAGATATAGAACCAATTGTACTGATACTGAATGAGATAAATATCTGGAGATGGGTATTATTTCATCAAATGAAACTCCTACTAAATGGATGAACCAAATTTGGACTTGCTTACAATATTTTAGAGAGAATGATCTTCTATCTATTAATAACAAAAAATATCTTAAAGCCAGAAATTAATAATATTGATCTGAGGTTAATAGATTTGGAAAAGCTATATATCTGAAATTGAAATTGCTATCTGCTTCTCTTGTAATCAATTAATATATACTGGAAAATAAATAAAAAATATAGGTAATTATAATAATATAGAAATAAAAAGATATTGGATTACTTATTATATAGAAAATATCTTTTGTGATATAAATTATAATGAATATTTACTGAAAATCAAATAAAAATTGATTTCAGAATATATTTATAATTATAAGTATGCATTATATTATTATAAATTATAAATACAGAATATAATTAAAAGAATTAAATATGCAAGAGAAATTATGAAAAAAATTTGAGTTATAAATATTATATTACAGAAATGACTTAAATATATATATATAAATCTAATAATTTCTGTATTTCAAAATTAATATTATATTATTAATTATTATAAATAGTTTGTAAAGAAATATGATAAGTTAATAATATATAATACAAATATTTATTTATCTAATTAATTTATTTATTAATTATATAACTTATTCATATATTTATCTTTAAAATAAAATTATCTAAGATATCTTTAAGAATTAATACTTTAGACTTTATTTTATTATCTCTAAAAGCTGATAATATTTTTTTCTTAATACTAATATAATCATAATATAATTATAATAAAAAATATATATCATGTTAATATTATAATATAATTATGATATAAATATATTTTTAACTATTTTTTTAGAATTTTATAAAATTTTTATTAAGATATATATAAATAAAATTTAATAAATTATATATAAATCTAATATAGCAATTATTTTATACTAGTAGAGATATATGATATAAATTTAGCTATTAAAGATTTTTTACAATATGAAATTATAGTTTATAATAGAAAAAAAGAATATTAATATTAAAGTCTATTATTACTTAGAAATTTATTATATATAATATATTATAAAAAAAATTATAATTACTATTTTTGCTTATATTTAATAAATATTTATTTAATTCATATAAAATTTTAAATATATATACTTGATAAT